TTTTTTTTTTTTTTTACAGATCTTTGTGTTCTGAACAATCTGAACGATTTTAAAACAAACGGATAAAAAATTGTTTACCTTTTTACACGCGATTTGTATAAAATTAAAAGCATTTTTTTCCAATTATCTAAAATTATTATTATTTTTTTCAGGATGACGCGTTTAGAGATTCTAAAATAAAGGAACTTTATTTTACCGATTGTGAACTCAAAGAAATTGATTCTGCTTCATTGCGTGGTCTTGAATCATCTCTCGAGCTTTTAGATATATCGGGAAATAATATTACTGAATTACAGCAAAATATTTTTCAAGAATTTGATTTTTTGAGGACACTTATTTTCAAGGACAATAAAATAGCAACTTTTTCACCAGGTTCATTAATAAAATTAATTAAAATTTTTTATTTATAACATTCAAATTAATTTTATTTTCAGTGGAAGTATTTACGGGTTTTCAGTACTCACTATACAACCTAGATTTAAGTGGCCGACAAAATGCAGCGATATCTCTTCAAGACCTGCGGCAAATGCGTAACTTGCGTTGTCTTGCTTTGTCTAAATTATCACACGACTCATTGTCAGCTGACGATTTCATCGAATTCGGTATTGACGTGAAAGAGTTACGCATAACACGCAGCAATCTAAACAGCATCAAAAGTCATGCATTCACACATGTTCGGGGAATAAAATATTTAGACTTTTCGGAAAACTCTATTTCGTCGATGGACGATGAAGCATTTTCTGAAGTGGGACATTCTTTGTTGACACTTAAACTTGCTCATGCTCTATCCAGTTCATTGAGTGAACTGCCTAGTAAACCATTTAAATCTCTTACTAATTTACAATATCTTGATTTGAGTAACAATAAAATTCGTTCAATGTCTGACACGTGTTTTCATTTTTTGAAACGAATCAAGAGAATTGAACTTCAGGACAATGAAATAACTGAAATACGAAAAGGAACTTTTCAGGTAAACTTTTAATAATATTTATTAACACTGTAGCCACTATGCGACTACCGAGATTTACGGATTATGAATAAGAAAACTTTGGCTTCATGATTTTTTGATACTTGTAAACACTATACATAGTTTAAGTACTTTTTAAATAAATTTTAAAAATAATAGTGCAATCACTGGATTAATTACAAATAATTCAATGGATAAATGTGACAGAACAAAATTATAAAACCAACAAAACTTGACCCCAAAAACTTGACATAAAAAATTGACTACTAAAAAATATATAAAACCAAAAGGAACAAATTCTTATCAAGACCTTTCTGATAATACCAAATTTAACAAAAAAAATTCCTTTAAAAATAATAATAGGCTCGTCACAAAATTTTTCTTACTATCTCAATTATTTAAATCATAACTAACTATTGCTGAAAAAATATCAAACCTAATTTATGATAAAGATATACCTGTTACAAAATTTTTCCTAGTCTCTTAATTATATAAATTAATTTTTGAACTATGACCACATTCTCATATACAAAACAGAATAAATAAATAAAGAAATTACATTTTTCGTGAAATTTGAACCTATTTATAACTATTTAGAAAATTTATCACAATAAATTACTGTTGAAAAGCACATGAAACCCTAAAAAGACATAATTTCAGATCAAGATTTGATTATATAGAAGATTCAAAAAAATTTTTTATTGTTTGTAGGGTGACATACACTCAACATTAGAAGAAGTTGATTTCGCGTTCAATCACATAACAAATCTCCAAACTCATACATTCGTCGATTTGTCAGTGATGACATTTTTAAACTTGCAAGACAATAACATCGACAAAATCGAACGACGTGCCTTCATGAATATGAATCGATTGAAATATATTAATTTAAGAGGAAACAAAATAATTAGTGTCGTCGATGAAGCCTTCCAAAATTTGCCAGATCTTGAATTTTTGGATTTAGCTTACAACAAAATGAATGAATTTGATTTTGCTTGGTTTGACCAAGTCGGAACTCTAGCTTCTTTCAAAGTCAACGCCAGTCACAATTCGATCAGTAAACTAGAAATAAATACTTCTAGTTTTACACCAGCAACAAGTAGTAAGTTCGATTATTAATTAGTTCCTTTGATTGGATAGTTTTGCACGCCTCATAAGCGAAGCGGATGAAGTAGTACTCTACTCTCGCCTCACAAAAATCAAGTGATTTTTTGAACTAAAATTGTTTCTATTTATTTTCTATCTCACTTGTAGAATATTATTTACACATAAATGTCATGGAAAAAACACCAGTTTCGACACATAACATTTTTAAGAGACATTTTGCTTTTTAAATAAATAAAAAAAATGTTTAAAAAAATTATTCCGTGGACGTCCGTGTGTCTGATGTATGTATAGAAACTGGCGTGGTCACGATAACTGCCGAAAAACTTAACTGATCAAGTTCACTTTTTTTATACGCTTCAGTATTATCTAAAACTAAGTCCTGTCGAAGATCACGGTCTAATCCAATGTAGTTTAATTATAATTAACAATAAACTAAAATCCACTTATCGTTTGTATATCTATATGTATATAAATAAGGTTTATTTACAACAGATGCGCAGTATCCGTTGTTTCTTTCTTTTCTTTCTTTTCTGGTTGGACAATGGCGCGAAAGATTTGAAAGTATTTGTATTTTATTTTAATCAATTTTATTATGAAAAATAAAATATTGAGGCGTGAACTTTTGGATTTTCCAAACTTTTTGGTTTTATCCTAATAAAGAGTATGTAATTAATTATTCAAGTGTACTTTAACATGGGAGGAACATTGCAATCAAACATTCGTGTGCTGGACTTAAGCCACAACAATATTACGGATATAATGAAGTATTACTTTCGACCAGTGGAATACGCTTTGACTCATCTGTATTTATCTCATAACAAAATAGTCAACATGTCGCAAGCAGTATTCGGTAATCTGCCGCACCTTCAATGGCTTGATTTACGTCACAATGAACTCAGTGACATTGATTTTGACTGCTTCCGTAATACTAAGAATATACAAGTGCTGCTGCTGTCTCACAACAATATCGCGGAAATCCCCGTGGAAACTCTAAGAAGCCTAAAGAAGTTACGCATTTTAGATTTGTCATACAACAGACTACGAACTTTGCCAGATAATTTGTTCACCGATGCTACTATCGAAAGTCTTGACCTCTCAAATAACCAATTTATGCGCTTACCAACAAAAGCAATTACTGGTACGGCAGCAGCTTCTATTTCAATTCTTGATTTGTCCTGGAATTTTTTGTCAAGCATCAACGTCGCTGATTCTATAAATAAATTTCGTGTAAGTTTTTAATCAATAGAGTATACTGAGAAAAAAAATTTCTTTTGAAAAAAATAATTAATATTTAGGGTAAAGGCTCCAAATATTGAACAGCTTAGATAAAATCAACATAAGTACATTATTTGTAAATTATTGGAAGAGTTCATCAGCTAAAACGAGTGTTATGCTTTTTTTATAGTTTTAACTTACAAGCTATAATACTTTTGTTTATAAAATACATAATGATGAACATTAAATTGTAATAATTAACGTTACAGACGATTGTTCCGAATACTGACCATTACGCACTAAATATTGTCTACCTATGTTCCAAATATTAACCAATATTATTATGATTACTAGACTCATAAATAACTCTTCATTTTAATCTATAATAGTTTCGAAAATAGGTGATCTATTCACTGACATTTTAATAATTGTTGTTGAAAAAAAATTTTTTTGATTTTGAAAAGAACAATTTTAGATAAACAACTTGTGAATTTTCATCCAAAATTGTTTTTTCCCAAATCTAAAAATTGTTTTTTCAACAAAAAAATTAGGGTAAATGCACTAATTATTGACCGATTAAGGTTTTCTTTTTCTGTTCTAAGCTATAAAAAATCTATTAACCTATTAAAAACAATTTGTAATGGATTTTATTAAAGTTGAATACTTAATTAATAATAATTAATAACTATTTATAATAAAAATTGACAAAATTATATTAATTTTGTTATTTGAATGTTGAAATACTAAAATCACCAATTATTGGCCGAAGAAACCCAATAAATGACCGATCGTTCTCCAATTAATTGACCGCTCAAATAATTATATTATAAGTAATTTTGTAAACTACATTTATGTAATTAAATTTATGCAGTACTTTTGAAGTATTGACGACATCTTTAACAAAACTAAACATATAATATAATTTTAAATCGTACTTTTTTTTATAAAATAATATAAATAATAGCAATAATTTACATAAAGTCACATTTCTTTAGGTCTCAAATAATCACAAATTCATTTTTATGACGATAATTCTTCTGATTCACTTGAAATTTTTTTATTCTTATCCTTCTTTTTTTCAATTAAAGCTTTTTTACTAGCTTGTAACTCTTTTTTATTTTTTTAATTGCTTAGAAATTTTTTCTTCTAATAATTCGTTCTTTGATATAACCGTTCACTAAAAAAATTACAACAAAATAAAATTTAATAATCAAAAAAGATTTTAAGTATTATTTTAATTGTAAATATACATTTTATAATGATTATTTTTATATTTACAAAATATTGAATGACTAAAGTACTTTAAAAACTTGACAGATTTAATTTTGAGCTTAAGGAGTTAGTATTATAAATATACGGTCATTAATTGGATTGTGATAAAATCAGAGGGTCTAATAAATGACCGAATGAATTTTTTACTGAGTAAAGGGCTTCTGACGGATCCAATAGTTGACCGGTCTTAAAATAATATTAAAACTTATAATTTAACTTTATTTTTTCAAAAAAGTTGGAATTTGATCTTTAATTAACATAATAAAATTAAAATATTTAATATTATGCCGATAAATATCACTAAATTAATGATGAAATGCACTCACTCTCCAATTGTACGCTAGTTATTTTTGACCGCTTTATGGCTGGTTGCGTTGTAAACAAACTCAGAATATTTTTTTAAAGCTATAATCACTGCACAATTAATTGCGTAATTTTTTATTATGATGATTAAATGCCATATTTTTTTATTTTAATACTTTAAGAGAAAAAAAAAACCTTGTAAAATATTAATTAATTAACTTTTTTATACATCGGTCAACTAATTGGTGACCGGTCAACAACTGGTGCATTTACCCTATTTTTGAAAAAATTGAACATTTTATTGATAAAAAAATAATTTGTTGAAAATTTTGAATTTTATTTCTTAGCTGAAGAAATGAAAATTTTTCTAACACTAATTTTCTTGTTATAAAAAAATTTATTTAAAAAAAATTATAAATTATACCTAAATTATAAAAATTGTAAATTGTAAGAAAATTTTTATTCCTTCAGCTAAAAAATGAAATTCATAAAAATTTTCAAAAAATTAATTTTTTATTAAAAATATGCTCTTCAGAAGAAAAATTTTCCCAAAAATTAATTTTTTGTGAGATTTTTCTTCGTTCTAAAAAGTTAGAAAAATTTTTTTGACTACATTGAGAGAAAAAGTTTAAAAAAAAAATGAGCAAAGTAATAAAAAATAAATTTTTTGGAAATTTTATTTTTTAACTGAAAAAATCTCTTAGTAATTTTTTTGTTAAAAAAAAATTGCCTAAATTTGGATGAAAACTCGCAAGTTTTCTATTTAAAATTCTTTTTTACCAAAAAATTATTTTTCTCACAAAAATTCTTTTCTTAAAAAAAGAATTTTTTTCCAAAAAAAAAAAAATTTTTTCCAAAAATATTTACTGAGAAAAATTTTTATTTCTTCAATTAAAAAAATAAACTTGAAAATTTCAACAAATTAATTTATTATTTCAAAATTGCTCATTTTTTTTTTAAATTTTTTTCTTTCAATGTGACCAAAAAATTTTTTGTTCAATTTTTTGAAAACTTTTTTCTTTGAATATAAAACCATTTTTCTCACTTCAAAAAAATTTTTATTCCTTCAAAAAAGTCAACCAAAAATAAAAAACAATCTTCAATTTTCCAAAAAAAATTTTTCCTCCAGTCAATGGAAGATCACAAAAACCTTGTTCCGCAATATAATCCTCAACACCCTACCGAATAATCAACCATCAAAGTCTTTTTCACAATTGTTGATCTGCGTGTCGAAAATGGAAGACCAATACCCCCCGCCCCTTAATAATAACAATAAAAAAAAAAAAATCTGGCACACGTTAATTAAACTTTAAAAAAAGGCACTATAGATCATCGACGAAGACCGAGTTGCTCTTGACTCTCCGCCGAGACCAAATAAATCAGACTTCTGTCCCATCTTCGCCCTCGTCTTCATAGAGAGGTCCGTTGTTGGATTTCTTCTTGGGCTTGGGTGGCGGCCTGGGAGGAATTTTCCTGCCCAGCGTGCTGGAAGTATTGGGGGAGGAAGACGAGGGAGTAGTAGGAGTCTGCCCAGGCGAGATGGTCAGCGGAGAAGAAGATTCTCTTCTCCCGCGTTTCTCCATTTCATCTGGAAGCTTAGCGAACCATTCCGGAGCGCCCTCGGGCGCTGATCTGTCCAAGGGATGACCCGAGCTGTTGAAAATGTTGGGGGTGCTGCGCTGGATGGAGTGGAAGCGCGCGGAAGTTTGCGGCAAGCTTGTTGGAGTTGATCCCGGTGGGGTTGGAGTGGATCGCGGGGGTGATAAGGGACTTAAAGCTGGAGCTGGAGTCGGTGTTGAAGCCTGAGGCTTCGCTGATGATGACGTTGGAGTACTGGGCAGCGGTCGCATCCTCATCGACGAAACAGGCTCGGGACTTTTGTTAATTTTGTTCAAAGAAAGCACCGAGCTTCCGTCAGCGGTGGTTCGCGCGCCCAAATTGTCGTAAACTGGCTCCAGGTGATCTACTGGAGAGCTAGGGGGTCCGCTGCTCCAGCTAGGTGCTCTAGGGCGCCGGGGAATCGTCACGTAACCATGCCGAGGCATTACTGGGTGCACTGGAGAGTAGACTCCCATTTGACGGTTTAAATTGTGCGGAAGAGTCTTAAATGCTGCGGGATACTGCCCCGATGAGGGCGAAAATCCTCGTGGTGATTGCTGCTGGGACGGAGACTGCTGGGGGTGCGATTGATGCTGGTAGTGTGTTGATGAACGCGTGTCGGGGAGGGTTGACGATTGGCTTGTTGGAGATGCACCCCGGCCGCCGGAAAACGCCAGCAAGTCCGGGGGGTAATGACGGTAAGAAGCTCCGCGTAATAGTGTTGAGCTATCGATATGAGGCTCAGGAGTCGCGCGGGATCGATCGTCTAGCATACCTCCCATCACACCGATTATGCTTCCCACGCCATCAGCTGTGAAGGTTAAAAGATAAATAATATAATTGGTAAAAAAAAAATTAATTTTTGTCAGGCTTCAAATATTGACCAGCTTTTTTTTGGAAAATTGTTTATTTTTAGTAGATTTTATAAAAATCTTACTAAAAGCCCCAATTATTGACGGGGGTCTAAATCTGATCAAAGATTTAAACATATAACAAAAAATAAATTTTGGGGCATTATTGTATTTTAATAACGTGTTTTTTTTTCAATATTTAAACAAAAAATCTACCTATCCATGTTAGGTACACAGTAAAAAAATTTTCGTAAAATTTAACATAAAATTTTGTTTAGATGATTTTTTTACATGAAATTTATGTTAATTCTACACAAACTGTTTGTATTATGACCAAGATTTTACTTTTTGGTATTTGAGTATCTAGGTCTATTTTTATTAATTATTTAATTAATAATATTATATTATTGTTATCGAAGGTTGATTAAATTAGAAAATTCAAAGAGTGGTGAGAAATTATTTTAAAGCCGACCAAGTTTAGCAAGCAAAAGAAATTAATTGTAAAAGAAATTAAAAGAACGGGGAAATTATTCTAAGTCCCGAATAAGATTTAGTATGGGAAAGTGACAAATGGATAGAGAATGAAAGAAATGACAATTATTATTTGGTGAGACATAATTTAGGTAAGCGAAAATATTATAAGTCCCAAGCCGATTTAGTATGGGAACTCGACGACTGGATAGAAAATGAAAGAAATTACAATTAAAATAATAAAGAATTGTGAATTTGACGAAACGAATGGATGTATAATGAAAGAAATGACGATTATTATTTTAAAGAATTGTGTTTGGGAAATAAAAACTTAGAAAGTTTTCGACAATTGATGAGCTTGCGCGAGCCTCGATAGATGGCGAAGTCAAAAATATGTTAAGTTCCGTTTTGAGAATAATTTTGACAAGCAATTCTTTCTCTGGAGAATTACTCGGGCGAATACTCTTCACCAAGTAATTCTAGAGGATGATACTCTATCTGGAGCAGGGTTGCCAGATGCGGCGACTTATCGCCATTTAGGCTACTTTTAACAAGGCTCGGCGACTAAAATGTTATTGAAGGCGACTCGTCGCCAATAGGCGACTTTGGAAATTAAACAACAGAACGAAAATTTTTTTTTATTATTTTTATAAAAATTAATAAAGACTACGAAGAATTTTATCACAGTTTTTATGTTTCATGAATACTACTTGAAATTTAGTCATGTTTTATGTTAATTTAAATATTTGTGGAATAATTTTAATGTTTTGTGATGATTTTCAATTGCAATACGTATAATTGCACACTTTTAGAATGAGAAAGATAATAATTTAATGCTGATGACCGAGTGTGATTACCTGAGTAATTTAAACACAATATTATGATGAAAATATATGTTAATTCGTCTAAACTAATTTTATATTTCATGAATATTGCTACATAAAATTTAATGACACTGAAGTTAGAAGACGTGTAAAAATTTTTGATTTTTTTTATTAATTAAATTACAACTAAAAAAATATTTCTAAAAAATTGCACTTATAGTTTTTAAAGTTTTTTACATGTGACAATTTTTTTTT